CCCCCCCCCCCCCCCCCACACTTTTCCACCCTCTGGGAACAAGGGATACTACTACAATGTTAGCGCAGAGAAACAAGATCAGATCAGATGCAACAACCATCACCATCTCCACGACTCAGAGGATGTGATACAAATCGCACCCCCTGGGCTAGTACCAATGTGGACAACTGATTCCAAAGGCGTTCTAAATATTCTCAAACGTAGCTCTCAACATGTTATCAAATGTATTCTGTTCTGCTCAAGTTTGCAAATAAATATTTTATCATTAGCCCTGGGAACGAAATATAGTTCCAACTATATAGAACCTTCAACCTCAGTACAAAAACAAATCAGTAATCGAACTTGCTCTAACCGCCTAACACAATCACCTGTCCAAACGACCACTCCCTCCCCTTGCATTTTACTCTGCATGAATATTACATTTGGCAATGACATTGTCCAAGAGGTTCACTTGTCCAAGTTGACCACTTTTCTCCTTGTCAATGTATGGCTGTCTCGGACAAGTTCAACTGTATCTTACATTATTTTACATTACACAGACAGAACAAATACCCTCAACCTGTGCAGAACTAGGAAACAGAAGCTTTCTCATCTAAGTCTAAGGCCTATTCACGTGGAATTATCTTCCAGCTTTAGAATTCTTTTTAATCGAAACAGTCAGTTTGAAATTTGACTTGAACCTTAATTTGTTATCAACAGTTTTTCCTTGACGTGGACGGGATACGGCCCATCCCCTGTCTCAAACTATAATCTCATCTTTCGTCACGCTCCACCCCCATTTGTTTGCCTTAGTCCAGACACGTCAACTGTTTCATGTAAGATTACATGTATTCATGGTCCTAGGTATTCTATTATATATGAAAATGCCATTTTGCTCCACTTTCTCTTCAAAATCGGTGACCCAAACTCGAGATACATTGTATTTGTCCGCTGATCGTTTGACTGTTCTCATACACCCCGGAAACGTTCAACTCAACCGGCAGCCAAACAACAGCCTAGTCCTATCCAAATCCAAAATGTCCCTTTCCAAAGATGGCTTCCCGGTTGAACATGAACGTTCGACAAACTCCTACTGTACAATTTTCCTTGAGAGGAGAAACAAAAAAAAAAGCTCTCTATATTCTTTAACGTTTACACTGTTCCCTCAGATATATATCAGATTCAAAACTGCCAGAACAGTAGCCTACACATGTCTTTTACCTGTTAAAACTGCATGACTGCTAATAACCCACTCTCAAGAGCTTTAAAAACTTAAAATCGCAAAGATGGAAAAACGTTTTCTCAGGGTCTGACTTTTGGTAAAGGGAAAAAATGGACTCGTTAACGGTGATTCTTGTGACAGAGTACTTTGTTTTTCTTTTGAAAGGAAAATTATCTGTTGACACTGAAAGTTGTAGGAAATTCAACTACAAGACGAAGCTGCCATCTTTCTCGTTTCTAGGTCCATGCTAAGTTGAGGCTATCAGGTCGGCCATTGGACGAATACACCATGAAAGCCGGGCGGACGAAAATAAAATTCAAGATGGCGACCCAACATGAATTATGAAGAGGAGACGCTGTGTGCACATTCTTTCAGCGCACACAAAACGATGAAACGTTGAATTCTCTCTTCTATCGTGGTAGAACTGCTGCTCATAGGTCGATAATTGACTTGATATCCAATTTTGAGTGTTAAATGATAATCTGATCTTTGAGAGAGTACTCCAAAATGAGAAACAATGGTGAAATAGTGTTAGAGATCCCAAGGAAATATTGGCCTGCCATGCTTCTCTCTCGCTTCTCCCAAGCGACGGCTGTTCAATCGTGGCAAGCACTTGTCACGTGATCCCAAGCCCACGCAGTCGGTAGGCTAGGCTAAGCAATTTATTTGCGCGCTGCTCGTTTCGCCGAGTGTTGTTTCGCAAACGAAGTTTCGAGGGCTGACGCAGCAACGCTCGGAACAGACTATGAATGGGAAATTGGGTCGTGGTTTATCTCTGACTCGCGAACAGCACACCGATAGCAATATGACCAGATGCCGGCGCAGATACTCTCCCTCTAGGACGGTCGCCACATTTTTGCAGAAACAATAAACTAAACAATAATAATGCAAAGTTTTGTCATAAAAAACGGCAGGGTCATCGATCCCCACAACGGAATAGACGAGGTAACTGACGTTGTCATCGAAAATGGGCGTATCTCCAAGATCGGCCGGTTTAGCAGCAGCACTAGCAGTAGCAGTGTGGCGGTGACAGGCTCGGATCAGGGGCCCTCTCTCGACGCCTCGGGTTGCATCGTGACAGCGGGGCTGGTGGACTGCCACGTCCATGCCTACCAACACGCCACCCCTCTGGGTATCAACGTTGACCGGAGCTGTCTGGCCCGGGGAGTCACCGCAGTCGTCGATGCGGGCAGTTCAGGTGGGTAGTGCAAACAGACGTAACTACGTAACCAAACCACACTCGTTGTTGGCCAATCGTAATGATTATAATAGTAGTAGGTAGGTGAACTCGCCGACCGACCCACCGACCGGCTCTGATGATGATTAACAACACCTCAATAGCCCTTTCATAATCCCGTCGTCTTTTCGCGCCTTTCCTATTTTGTTCGGCTCTTCATCACCTACTGTATAAACAGAGGCGTTGGTTCGGCTGGATTGGTCATTTCAGGTTGATCAAGCGCAGGACCGTATTGGTGGATAGAAACGTTTGGGGGAGAGGTCAACTAGATCTATAGTACCCACCTCCTCCTTTTTCAA